CTGTTCACTCCTAATTGTTTTCTGAGCTGACAGGAATTTATTCACGTGCATCCACTAATTTAGGAGAAGCTTCTGGGATCAACTGACCCCTTCAAAGCAATCTGTGAGTCAGTCGCGGTCTTGAACGTTATATTACAGAAAAGTGGAGGTGGTACAAGTGTTCTTCCGGATGGGTGATGTTCTGTTACGATAACTGTATAGCCAGTTTCCTGTTGAAAGGAGACTTAGAGTTCTCAACGTCAGACAGCGCTTGCAACGTTCTCGTTAAGGTAGGTTCCTCAAGTTAATATTGAACTAGCATATGCATGGTCGTTGCCCAAAACACGTGCTCCAGAAGGACAGCTAATCTTCCCCCGACTTTCTCCAGCGGAAATTCATAGTAATATGGTATATTTCCTGCCACAACCGAGCTGGAGTTGATGAACTCACTGTCAGAAAATGTCTCTATTTATATCTCAATCTTATGCTGGCCAGAAAAAATGGTTTTCCGAACGCAGCTGTAGCTGGTAATCACCGTCATCTGCTCGTATAACGGGGATCTAGGAAGTGCCACCTGTGTGCTCTTCTGTATGAAAATTCGCCTACCCATTAGTGTATTGAAATAACCCGTCAAGATAACCACATCTGTGCGTTTGACTTTCAGTAGGAGGTCAGACAGTTTTCGGTAGAACTCATCTTTCACTTTATCCGGAGTGCAGCCAGTGGATGCATAAGCGGAGAATATAAAGACACAATGGTGTGCTTCACTACTCTTTTCAGTCCTTACTGTGTTCTTAAGTCGAACAGCGCATAAATGAATCGTAACAGGAATCTAGTCTAGTAGAGATCTTTCTGACTTAGAAATATGTGCAAAACTGCGAGAACAAGCCATCAGATCGCCAGAAACTTGAAGAGTGAGTTTAGCAAATTCACCAGATTAGTCCAGTGACGTTGAGGGGATAAGCGCACTTGAGTCCTGCATAGGCTTCTCAAAAACAAAACACACTTCTATGAACCCACATATAAGAGTTTTGGCTATTGAACTTGTTGGTCGATTTAAAAAAGAATATGAACATTAAAAATTATAATGTATATTTCGGAAGGCCGTTTCAGGAGACCAAGGATGTCTTTCCGCGAACTAAACCGTTACCAAGAGCTTTAAAGTTGAAAATGTTTAAAGTTGATGTGTAAGAATATTAACTGAGTGACGTGAAGAAAAACTAGAAGGCGAAGACGTGTAAGTTCGATAATGATCTAACGGGACTTGAGAGCTGATAAAGTTGTGAGGCGGTTGACACTCCCTGGCTGCCCATATTGTGGACAGTTACTTCTTCTTTATGTGGTTGAAAAAAGAGTTGGACTAGTAACAGTGGTGTGTGAACTAAGAGCTTAAGAGAGATATGTTTGGGACCGGTCACATAGGGCCTTTTCACAATCTTGAACCTTATATTTTGTTGTTGTTTTGAATCCAGATATAACCCCATACCACCGGCGTCAGAAGACCGCAGAGCGGACGGGAGTGTGGTATCTTTACGGCCGTTTTTTTTCTGACCCCTCTTCCCATGAAGGTAACAGTAGTAGCAAGGTAATACTGGTCATTTGCAGAAAACACCTTACTGTTGTCACATCCGACCAAGTCAGCAGTACAGCTTCGCCCTCAGAACCTCATCATAGCGAAATCGTTAGGACTATGATGGTGACTGCTTTATGTCTTACAACAGATACAGGGGAACAAATGTTCCCCCCAACATAGCTCGCAGGGTCATTGTGATATGCTAACCTGACCACCACGTAAAGGTAGCTGCTGTTGGTTGAGAAAATTTTAATTCTGGCAACCATTGATTATTGTTATTATTGACGAGCTGCTATGAAATAAGGAGGGGTTTCAGTTTTATTCACGCAATGGAAATGAATAATGCATTTTATACAAGAAGAAATAGGATCTTAAGACCATATAGTAAGGTACACGCTACCATGAGGAATAGTATTTTAAAACGAAACACAATGACATCTATTCACAAAGAAACAAATGAATATTCAATGTCTAAGGTTTACAGATGGATAGAGTGGACTTACATTTGATGAACAGGTTTCTAATTAGTGGCTTCCGTCAATAGACAAAGTCTAAACTAGAAGTCATCATTGCCTTAAGAGGTGCAGACTAACAACCAATTACTTCATATGATCGTGCTCCATCTTGGCTTGACCATCGTGAGCCTGACGATATATCTACTTCTCCTCCAGATAATATTGGACACTAAGTCTGAAGACTATTCAATATATATATATATATATATATATATATATATATATATATATATATATATATATCGCTGAGCATTCTATCACTGTGCAGACAAGATAAGACCTCGTCAAGTCTCCAACTAATGGTCAAGCAGACGCCCCTATTGTTTTTTACTAAACATTATAATGTTAGTTGATATGAGTAATCAAATCAGGCACACACACACACACATACATACACACACACACACACCATAGTGTAACTAATTACTTCTGAGGCACACATAAGCTGCTGTTTAACCTTAACAAAAGATTATAAACTGTATGACAGTTGTCTGTTTGATCTCAAAAAAAGAATTCTTCTGGACAAATTCTTTTCAAGTTTCACGGATAATCAGATAAGTGAAATCTATAATTACACTAATAGCCAAATTTTCAATCGGTACATTTTCATGCAATATGTGATTACATAATCGTACACTATATGTTTGACACATTTACATACACGTGGATAATGATGACTATGATGGTGGTCGTGATTGATGAAGGGTGAATAATATCCACATTGAACTTAAGCATAATTATTTTATCCTAGCCTATTGTATGATTATGCGTCGGTGTATACATTGCAACAGGTGAGGTTCCTTCAAAATTAGTGATGTTGACGGAGTCTATCGTTTCAAATTTTGTTAATTTATTATACCACGATAATCTCACGAATGCCAATTAGTTGGTTTAGGTTATACATTTGTAAAACAATCACTGATTGGTTTTTTGTAGATCAAAACTTGAGCACTGTGGTAGAATATAATTCGATATTACACAATAGATGACGTTTCAAGCACAAATCACTTCTGATAATCATAAGCTTGATGTAGGGTGGGATTAAGGTAGCATTCAAACCTACAAACTTAATGAATAATGAACTTAATTGACTTAAGGATCATTATTGGCCGTACTATATATATATATATATATACCTATTAGGTAATGTTGAGATGACTGATACACTGTTTATGAAACTTATTAATAAAATACAGAATGACTAGTGTGAACAAAACCGGCTAAAATATTAATCGACTAGTTCCAATGAAACTGATGGTTACACAAATTTTAACTGAGAACTAAACTAATTTCAGAAGGTATAGCTTTCTAGTCTGTAGTTAGTCTAGTGCTACGTTTACACAATAACACTCAAAGATATGAACCAAAATTATCTTGTCAAGATTAAATTATAAAAATACCGCACTATTTATTTTTTGTCTTTTTTTCCAAAAGGTATCAACCAGAGGTCAATATGATAGAGTTTAGGTTACCAACACTTGCTATTATTGAGTGATCTACAGTCACACAACGTTGAAAAGACAATACATCCATTGAAAAATTTGTTCGGTAAAGTTGATAAATTATAAAAAACGTAATGATTTCACTTGTATATAATGCGAAAACTGAGGAGATTTGAAACTAAAAGCATTTTACGCAAGATTCATTACATAGTGACATCAGTTGGAGAACTAACAGAAACCTAAAAGTATTGGACTCCTCACCAGCGAGTACCCACAACCCCATGAGAAATCTAACCCAGGAGCATCAAGCGTCACACCGATTTGGACTCGATCCCACGCCGAACAAGCCAATGGGTAAGTATTATTAAGATCTACGTACTTAGTGTCAAACTATACAAATGGTAAAAGTGTCACACACTTAAAATTGAACATGGTACACCACATGCTGCTGAACACATCGAAATATATCCTAATCAAACAAGAGCATAGTAAAGTTTGATTGCGGTAGGTTGTGCTTTGGTAGATTTTTCATACTACTACAAGTGTACGGACGGTTGACACTTCCCAGCTGCTCACATATCGTGAAAAGCTATTTTTGCCTACCTGAAAGAGAAAAAAGATTTGTACGACCATAAAGCCTATGGGACATCTGCTTGAGGCCTATCACATACAGCCTTTTGCGGATTGTTGGTTTGAGACTTTGTTATTCAAATGCTAGGTAGGAAAAACACATCGTCAGTACAAGAATACCGCAGGGGCATGGGAGAGTTTGTTATTCTTAAAGCTGATCTTCCCATACTACCCTTCCCATAGGGAAGGAAGCATCAGCATGGTACTACTGCTTATCCAAGGGAAACACCTTACTGCTGTCACATTCCGTTCAGCTAGCATTACAACTTCGTCCTCAGACCCCCATTATAGTGCAGCAATTTAAACTACAACGGCCACTATCTTTCGTCTTACCACTATCTAAAAGACCTTTCTGGTATGGTAGAACCTCGAGGGAAAAAGTGTTCCATTCAGTGTAAATTATTGGATCCTTGTGGAACATAAGCTCGACCAACAAGTCAAGGTAACAACTATCGGTCGAGTTTAGCACAGTTAGACATAAAGTGTACAATACCAAGACATGATATCGATTAGCAGATTCCCATAATTACAATGAATTATGAGCGTGGTAAGAAAGTATCTAGAAACAGGTTAAAATTAATATATCTCAACGACTTCAATTTGTTAAAGATGATTTCATTCTACTTTTAGTAACAACAAAGTGTCCTGTTGTCAAAACAAGACACCAATCAAAAGAAAAGCAAACTCCATGGTAATATAAGTCACCTACAGTATAGAAGTAAACACACCAGATGATAATGAAATATGTTCAAAAAGAAAAAAACAAGTTAACATACTAAATAACAACGAATTCCTGAAGTGAAACAGTAAAATATACAGACATATCCTCAAGAAACATTAATATTAAAAGGCATTACTCACTTTCACATACATTTGTTGGATTATCTGTCAATATATCCAAATTCGGCTGACAACGTTCAGCTATCGCCAATTGCCTTTCATGTTGTCGGCTTAAAAGAGTACATCTAAATGATTGAATTTCATTCCCAATAGACGAGCTATTAGTTACAGATGAGGAAGATGTAGAGGAAGAGATTGAGATAGCAGACGACTGTATACTGTTCTCAGTATGATATTCATTGGTAAATTCTTTGTCATATGGATCATAAGGATGTTTACCATGAGTGAGAACATAGAAAGCCAACAGACCACAGGCAAATATATCAATAGCACATGTCTATGCAATAAGAAAAAAGAGGAAGAAAGAAGTTTGTTTGTTTGGAAGTTTTTCGAGATAATTTAAGGAAATTTATGCAATTAGACTGAATAGAATTCACTACTCCATTTGAAACTATTTGTCATTTAACAATAGGTACAAATCCACACGCGTACACAGAATCATCGCCTTGTTAACAAAACAAAAAGTATCAACAAACATAACAAACAATTACAGGGCCCCCGTGTCGATTAAATACCAATATTTAACACCAAGTTACAGTAAACTACAGGTGTCATATCAGTCAGTACACTAGCTAGCTGCATTGTAAACTTGATCGATAAATTTTAATCAACGCACTAAGGATTTCGCATAGAACACTGATATTGTACAAGAGGTGGCTATCGTGACTTAGTGACCTAGTGGATAACGCTGTGGCGTTTAAAGCGATGGGTACGAGGCTCGAGTCTCAGTGGAAACATCACTCACTAGGGTGCAGGTACATCCACCTGACTAGTCCCAAATAGGACGAAACGCGTGTCCTGAATTCCTCTGCTAGCAACAACCAAGTAAATTACCGTAATAAATATTCAGACAATATCGAAATATCCGCATAAGAGCCCATATGCTAACAGAGGTCGAACAATTCGATCCAGCAAAAAAACGGATAATTACAAGTATATCAACCTGACTCATCGCTCAACTTCTTTCAGGACATTCGTAACCGCTATGGCTTGGATGTTGAAAGTTAGTTATTAGTGTGTGTTACGCTAAAGATTAGAACGTTTCAAGTATCACTTTACAATTTTTCCAACGTTCATGTAATTAATGAGATTATAGCTATAGTTTGACAGACTGATTTTATTGGTATTGGGTTATAATTGAAGGTGAAATGAGAGCATAGGTTATGCAAGGATTCAAACCGATGGTATCTGGGTTGCTGACTAGGTTTTCATTTCATTTCAGTCCTCAAGGGTTTCGCATGGTTACCATATGAATCCAAGATAAATCATGCCGATTGCCCAACGAGGTCTCCTAATCCCAACTGCAATCAATGCTTGTGTATTCTAAGGTGAATTGAGTGACATCACCGATAAAACCAATAAATTCATAAGTAGTATTCATCATGGACTGACATCAATTGGGGAACCATTGAAAATCTGGGAGCAATGGACAGCTGTTTCGTCCTAGTATGGGTGCGTACTGCTGAGGAGTCCCATACTAGGACGAAACAGCTGTCCAGTGCTCCCAGATTTTCAATGGTTCCCCAACTGATGTCAGTCCATGGTGAATACTACTTCTAAATTAAAAATCCCCATTCATCTCAAAAATACAATAAATTCATGTCAGATTCCATTCGGCAAAACAAGAAGTAATTAAATTTGTACTTATAAGGTTATTGCTTTTTGATTCTTTCTGTGCTTTTTTCATCTACGGCCTAATTCTAGTGGTATTTCTTTCAGAAAAGCCAAACAACAATTTTCATGTCAAGTGATACAGTTCCAAAAAAAACACCTCGTCACCAGTCAAGTAAGCATTCAATCAATGGATTCATAACCCTTCTTGTTGGTTTCCCTACAAACTGGTCCCACGATATTTCTGTCTATCTATCTGATTACCTTGATTACCTTTTATTATGAAAATAAGTAGACAACTACCCAAGTTAACTGAAAAGTCAGATTTAGATTTGATGAAATTTGGTATCTCATAACTTTTTGATCAAGATTTCTACTAGCTGAAATACGAGACCCCACTCAACACCAGAGTCTAGAAGTCAAAGTAATCTTGAAATATGAACAAGTCTTTAGTCAGCCTTTTACTTCTGTAATCAACTTCAATCAAGTTGGATTGATGGAGTAGTTAAGTTGTAAAAGGGCTTTAGAACTTATCATTTACGATGTACTGCTAATAACTCACATAGTGTTATTTGTCCTATACACCATAAGGAATGATAAATATGTTTGTTTCTTAATGAGCAAGAAAAAAAAATAGTATAATGAGTTACCACTTGTTTCGCTGATTCCATATCACAAAGTTCTGGTGCCATCCAACCAAGTGTACCAAAGGTAAAGCATACACTGTTATCCGATTCACGACTGTTAATGTCGCCACCAACACTAACACATCCATTTGAACCAATATTCTTAACGTCATTATTATCAATAGTAGTCGTGGTAGGATTATGCTCCTTTTGATTGTGATACCTTACACATATGCCATAGACATCATTACTAGTATTATGATCATTTATTTCTGCGGATCCAACTGAATTATAACGATCACTACTGATACTGTTATTTGATGTATGGCCTGATGAACGACTCTTCATTTGTTGAATTTTCATAGAAATATGTGGTCCAAATGAATTCAGGGTTGCGTCGTGTGGTTGTTGACGTTCATCTGTTGACAGAGGACGAGATAAACCAAAATCTCCAACGACAATGCGTGCTTTCTCACTAGAATTATTATTATCACCAGTATTAGTACTATTATGATTATCGTTCATGACGATGAGTATATTACTCGGCTTCAAATCTCGATGGACTTGATTGAAAAAAGAGTACACAAAGAACATAAGTACATTAGATGGACGGGTAGGTTGCAAAAATTAACATAATCGCATTATTTTCATCCATAATAACACATTGTGTTGGTAATTCAAATTGATCTTCAGTACAAGTCGATGCTAGATAGACAGACAGAATCAGAGTAGAAACTTGCACACAAATGCATCCACTCAAGTTGCTACACTTCACAATAATACACAAAAGAGTCATATCAAAGTAGAAGAAGTTGAGTGAAAGAATAAACAATTAGAAGACGTCAAGGAGTGAATACAATTTCCCTACTGCGACTGATTTTCAGCCATGTCCCTAAGACTCTTCAACCACTGATTCCTATCGTCTCGAGGACCCTAGTCAGTTGGTCTATATCTTTCCACAAGATTCAAACCAACAGTCAGGGACTTCACGTACTAGTGTCAGGTTTTGGTCTGGCCACCCTGAACCCCCTTTCAACCTAATTCAACTTCCCCTAGCACAGCATGTCGAGGCAGGCGATGACTCGGCATGCGCAACACATGTCAAAGCCACCTCAGTCGATGAAGGTTTATAACCTCATCGATCGACTTGCCTAGTATCCTTCGCCTGACAAACCGATGCCAATTAGAGGCAAATTGTACGCATAAGTATTTCATCGGATTTTGAAATTCTTCGAAATTTCGTATATAGCACCGTATGTTTACATATCTTAAGCACTTTAGAGTTGGAAACATTAGTTAACAATATCCACCTACTAAGACAAAGTGTAATACACACTTGACATATTTTTCTGTATCGTGAATATCATCGGCATAGTAGACCATCAATTTGGACAGAATTCCTCACTACAACGTTCAAATAACATCTGTACAGCGTTGAAAATCTCTCCGGAAATTTCTAGTGCAATTCTATAAACAGTGTTAACACAATCTGTAGAAAATGACAAAGATTAAGACGACATGAGAATAATGAGTCAGATAAGTAATAAATATCATGATTTATGTCGTAAAAAATGTATTGGTATATCTTTATGTCTACTCTCCGCATCATCCAACTCATCGATTCATCATTCCACGTCATTGTTCATTTGTTACATAAACTAGGCAGAGGAATTGAACAAAAGTTAATTGATGATTGAAGTGTAATAAACATCTGATCAGAAATGTATGAAATGCACCCATCAACCGTGTGTACATTCTCATAGTAGACAACAAACCACACCTGATTGCCCAAATCTTAGTAGGTGGCACTGGGCTCAAACCCATGACCCAATGCCTGAGAATCATCTCTCTAAACCAATGAGCCATAGCTACGTAAAGGTAAATGTAATAGAACAATCTTGTTCTTGATTTAAAATTTGCATAACCGACGTTTCAGTGTTCAGATAGACAACAAAATAAAAGCCAAATATCAATTCAAAATTTGCTTAACTCATTTACAAGTTACACCGATTGTTCACTCACGTATTGAGTATCTTGCTTATTTATCTTAATACCTCTTGATCTCTGTTCATTTCCTCTTTTCATGATACTGGAGATATTTTGAAATCAAGCACTTCTCCTATGACATTCCATAATAATTACTCCATCGGTCTATATTTCACAGTCATGACCAAGTGAGTCATTTCATTTAAAGACCTACATCCTGAGAAAAGATCTGAATAAACCTTTGTTAGCCGAATGCAATCATTCACCTAATACTATTATGTTGTGAAATAATTACCAACTTACGTTTCTTGTTGTTATTCATCGAAGACTGACATCAGTTGGAGGAACAAAGGAAACCTGGGTTTCCTTTCTCCCAGGTTTCCTTTTTTCCTCCAACTGATGTCAGTCTTCGATGAATAACAACTTGAAATATTTCCAAATCTCCACAACCCCTCAAAAATTTACGTTTCTTGATTGATTCTGAGAACCATCCTAGAGAGATGGTAGTATAACCATATCACTGACATAACCTCAATTTATAAGAGTTGCATTTACACTGGTCTAGGTACACAGTTTCATGTGGCTTTTGGCATGAAATTGTCGCGTAGACCAGTCTCTACCACATGCTGTGCAAATAGAACTATTAACTACTTGATATATGCAGTCTCACAGTGTGTACAAGTGTATACATATCCCCTAAGGATAGGAAATGATTTTGCTTCTCTCAATCAGTCAGTCAGCATTAACATAAGACCTGAAATTACTGACATAGACAAAATCAACCTAGAACTTCGCATACAAGTATATCGATCAAATTTACCGCACTTCACAACAGAATGCAAAGAACAAGTGGACAGAAAAAGGGTGATATCGAAGTAACCCACTGAGTTCCTTCATCATCATTGGGTCCTTGCATTTTTTCAATAATTTTATAATTCCCATTGTAACATGAAGAACAAGATATTCAGTGAGTTTCTACGCTGTTCTGTCAAACTTGCTTTGGTGAAATCTGAGACTTCGCTGAATATCTTGTTCATGATGTTACAATGGGAATTATAAAATTATTGATATCAAAGTAGACAAAGGTGTATACGGAAAAACGGGTTCTAAAATCAAGGCCAGTGAAAATATTCACGCTTTAGAAGACGTCAAAAAGTGAATACATCTGCGCCATTGTGACCGATTTTAAGCAATTTGACCAATGTTGACCAAGGGCTCAACATGTGCAACAGATGTCCAAACCACCTCAGTACCTAAAAATTAACAACCTTATTGACCAAAATTACTGACTTATCAAGCTACTCATCGGGACATCAAGATACAAGGCAACATGATAATAGAGTAAGAAATGAAAATGAGAGAATAAGAAGTCTTGATAAAGCATTGAGATGAAAAAAGGGGGTAACGTACTTGTGACATAACTGTTAGGATAAGGATCAGGAATCCTACATTTTCCCACACACCTCAAACCAACAGTAAGAGATTTCATGAAATAAGATTATGTTTTAGTCCACCCAACCTTGACTTTTCCCATTCTTGCCCTACGTCAACTAATTTAATACATCGAGGTGGCGACGGTGACTGAGTATGCGTGACACATGTCTAAGTTAATTCAATCGATGAAGGTGCAAAACCTCATCAACTGAGTCTCCTCTGTTACATAAGACTCTACGCTAAGCATTTACAATACTTGTATGGAAGTTTCAGAACATGCAGGCAAAGGTGACAATATCTGAACACCTGAAGCCACTTTAGGTTCTCCATTTTATTGACCTTGTTTCCTACAAACGGAATATAACTGAACGAACTGCTGTGCAGTTTACTCGTATGCTGTATCGAGAGTATGTAACTAAATATGATAGATGGTGTGTGTGTGTGTGTGTGTGTGTGCATTGAAGCGTAATGGAGACTGCTTTTCAGTGTTAAGTTATTAAGTTGAATATGCGTTTATGCTTCCTATATATCTACACACACCACCCTAGTAGTAAAATAAGGCAACAGAAATGAAACACCGATCTAGAATGGTGTATACTTTTTTTAAGAAAAAGTGGCCTGTAACACACTATATCATGCGTAAATTCAGAGAAGTTCATATCAACGAAGAGTTGCAAATGAATGTAATCAGTGTTGCTGAAATATGCAGACTAACATACACATCAAAGTACTAAGCTTACTTAGCATCACTGAATCCACTAAATGTTTGGAATGTTATTCTCAGCTGTTTTTAGAATTGAATATGAAATAAACTAATCCGCACGTAGTATTCACTAGTACTAGTTCTTCAGACAGAACAAAGATTGTTACTGTAATGCGTATATTTCAGTCAGCCCCCAAAAATAAGTCACACAACCAGTCCACCAATCAGTTTGCTAAACATTTCACCACATGCAGCCTCATACATGTATTAAACGTCATGTTAGAGACTCACAAACCACACAGTTTCTCATCACCCAAATGAAAATTACTGATCAAAGACTGATATGTCGAAGTACCCCGTCTTAAAAGAGAGGGTGAAGTGGCTAAGCCCTTACATAAAAAGTCGAATCAACCCTGCTGCGTAGTGACTGAAAAAATCTCAGCACAAAAACACCGCATGATCTGTGCCAACTTACTCCATCTATAGTACCTATGAGATGATCTAGTGCTCTTTCTATCACGTGTCTATGAAACACGACCATTAAGCGTAGAGGATATGAGGTTTCAGGTATTCGATCACTGTTGCTTTATACGAATTGGTCATATGTCTTGGTGCTGCCAAGTCAATAACGTAGAAGTCAGGTGCCAAGTTTTCAACAAAAGAAATAAATCAACTGATAAGGTTGTACACCTTCATCGTTTTCAATGACTAAGACATATGTTATGCATACTTATTCACCGGTTGCCCTATTTTACAGTGTTCTCTGAAATAGGTTGAGGCTGGAAAAACGTTAGATGGGGACAGAGTAAAATGTGACATCAGTACATAAAGTCAGTGACTGTTGGTGAGGCACGTAAAGCGACATAGACTTCCCTGTTGGGGTCTGTATGATAACTACAATCCGTGGTTGGAGACAGTAGGTGATATAGTGTGGCTCAAAATTGATTTCATATTCACGCATTGTCTTCATCTTAATTGTCATACTAAAATTCGTTATTTTCTCACTCCCCCTTGTTTTCTTTTAATGACTTTTGACTATATCAACTACATTCTTTTTTTATTTCTACGTCTTCCATATGAGCGACTTCTCGTTTGGTGCGATGACATGAGGATCGGCAACTTGGACCGTTATACAGTAATGCCAGTCACATGTTGATGCCGACTGGCTGAATCTCTCATTACTACGCCACTCAAAAGTGGAACGTTTACACAAGTGTTAGATGTAATCAACAAACTAATCCTGCTCTAGTTACTGTATTCGTATTCTAGTTCCTGGAGATAGCTGAATATAGATTAAGCTTCATAATACCCTCATGTGTTTACGTAATTCACTAGTAAGTAATAATATCCCACTTAATGAAAATGATTTACTTGTTTAATCACGTATTTCGCATGATAGACATTTTTTTTGTGTGAAGCTTATTACCTTTAATAGTTTTA